ATATTGGGGTAATGTTGGGTTGTATTGGGTTATATTGGGATAAAAAGAAAATGGAAGCTACTATTTAGGGTTTAGGCTTTAGGGTTTAGGCCTTAGAGTTTAGGATTTATAGCGTTCAGGGTTTATGGTTTGGGGTGTAGGCTTTAGGGCAAAAGCTGGAAAACGCACTGCCCAATAAGATTGAATCTTCCCACTGTGGTATGCTGTACTATAGCGGGAATGCTTAACATTCGCAGAGCGGGTGGTGTTTTTCTGTGTTGAGGGGAGTGGATTAAGTATACCCTAAACCCTAGGATCCCCAGTACTCTATAGGGCCCACCTTGTTCCAGCACTACCTAGCTTTGAATAAAACACTAGGACCCCAAAGATCTGAAAAAGGGACCTATCAGCGATCCTACAAACCCACAGGTCTACATCCTAAACCCTGGAAACCTATGTTCTGCCTTCCTCCCCCTCCCCGCTTTTGGACTCAAAGTCCTTGGCCGTGGCCTACAAAGTACCAAGGCTGTTGTAAACAAAACCACCCCCACAAGTGTAATATAGGGGTGTATATATATATATAGAGGATCTTATACAGGGATAACATAGGGATTAAGGCTTAGGGTTATCGGTTTTCGGGAGGAAATTACCCATTATTACACCTCTCATGGAGAATCATAGGGGAGAGACCATGGAAAGTCAAAATGGAAACTGGGATTGTATTTGGGCAGTCCCAACCCCAAAACTAGGAACCTTGTACATTCATTCAAGGCTTTCTGTAAGTACTACGAAATTGGCTTGTTACGTACTTAGGCCCTTGGAGGTGCCAAGAGGGTTAACCGGGATAGAAGCCTTCTGCATGAGAAGCCTCGTCCCTGGAGCTACACCACATGCTGCAGTCTTTTGGACATCCTAGCCTGAACCCAAACCACAAAAGGGACCCGTCCGCAGGGTCTCCGCTAAAGATCCTCTTGTTGAAGAAGCCCAACTTTCCATAAGCTTCTCCTCCGCCTTGCTAGGCACAGCACGCCTGAAGCTAATACTTTTGCGCTGATTTTTGTGAATATTGGAGACATCTGATGTCCTACATCAACATGTTCTAAACCTTGCCGGACCCCCCAAGTGCCTCCATAATCATCCCGACATACTCCAGGGACCCAACACTGTCCGACTACCGGATCGCCTTTAGGATGACCGTACACCTAGCGGCATGGATTCCACCTCAGACAGCGAAACATGAACTCCCGAGAATAACCATCCAGCAGTAATGACTGGACCCACCCCCTCAAGTTTAAACCTCAACAGCCCTTGCTGCTAAACCATACTACGCGTCGCTTGACCCTAAGCCCGGAGCCCTCAAGCTTGACCCTTGGAAGGATGACGAGACATCCATCGGCCAGGCCTCCTGACCACCCAAGACCTCGACACCGCCCTCGTCTGAAGGCATGTCTCCGTCTTTGAGTACGGAGCTCCACCTGCGTGGTTCGGAGTTCGTGATTTAGGGTTTGGCTTTGCATTTAGGATTAAGAAGGTGAGGATTTGGGGCGCAATGCAAAGCTGGGACCCCGCAAGGGCAGTTAGGGCCGCAATTGTAGATCCTATGGCCAAGCCTGATGCTGGAATCCATCTTGCCCAACGTGATGAGCAGGTAAGCCTGCAGCAACGACGAGCTTGGCAACTAGAGAGATTCTGTCGCTTTGAAGTGCGGGCCTCAAGCATGTATGATCTTGGCTTATATGGCTTCGCAGTCCTTCTACACCTGCTCTACGTCCTGGGCACCCTACGGATGGCCCCAGTAATCATTCAAGACAGGCTGAGGGAAAACAAATAGGTCCAACCTTAAAAGCTTTGGTTGGGGTATTTATTTTTCTCTGGTGAACTAATATGTCTACACATAGCACATGCTCTGGGCCCTCAAGTCCATAAATAGCATCTACTTTCAGCTTTTTGGAGCCTAAAGGTCTGAGTCCTCATGAAAGCGCTTACACACCGATGGGCCATGTGAGCTACACTCCATATTTCCTACATCATTTAGTGGACATGGGTCCTTATTAGGACTATGTTGGGGGCTATACTCCGCTGTTAAGGCCACGTTACAAGGTTAATATTGACCTCAGCTCAGGTGTGGACCTAAAACGGGCCATAGTCTTGAGGCGTACTCGTGGTAAACTTGTGCAAAACAGCTCAGAGACTGGGAAACTAATTGGAGACCTTCCACCCGCACCTGGAAAATTCAGGCGGCCCGAACCCTCAAATTCAAACTTTCACGTGCCCAAACTGCAACAAGGCCATTTAGGATTTCTGTCCTTATAACACTATTTGCAGTGAGATCGGTGAGGTTGCTTCCTTTGGGCAACTAAAGCCTAACAAAATCAGTGAACACCCCAAACTCTAGATACTCTTCTACATCATGTACGTACATATGTATATCTATATACATATACATATATATTATGTATATCTCTGTGTGTGTATGTCCCTTTAGGAACCCCCATATCTGCTATATGCCCTGAGGCCTTGGGTAAACCCTACTAAACCCTAAACCCTAAACCCTGCGGCCTTGCCATCCTTCTTCTCAAAGTCCCAGAAGCAATCATCTGTGAGGACTTGTGCAAACAAAGTGCCTGGAAAGGTGCGCAAGACGGGAGATGTCAGGAAGTCGGGGGTTATACAGGGATAGATAGATAGATAGATAGATAGATATATACACATGATCCTATGTGGTGATGGGGATATATTTGGGTATTTAGGGATATAAGGATATAGGAAGGTTGTTTCTAGGAATTAGGCTGTTGGGCTCAGGATGCAAAAATTGCTGCCTGCGGGGCTTGCACGGATGGCAGGAAGAGGCCAAATGACGCATTCTTGAACCTGCCAATATTCTGAAGACTATTCTCTCCTTTAAAGAGCTGTGAAGCTGTGGGCATCTAAGCCCTGCCAGCAACCATTGGCATTCAGGATGAGTTTTACTTTGGTTTGCCATGGGACAAACTTGTCCAGCTTTACTTAGATATATCGACCATTCAAAGACTTGCACTGTGCGGGTATTCAATGGGTGCCTGGGCCTGCCTCACACATTCCCAAAAGAATTGCTGCGTTCACAGCATGGGGGGCGGGTTCAAACAGAGGCCATTTCGCGGGACTCCCCATGATCAGGATTATAGCATACAAAAGCATTGAGGTCCGCATTTTTGATCCCGCTACTCAAATTCTCGCTGGACACTCCAAAAACAAGAGTGAAGAACAGACATTCCAGAAGGGGAAAGGCGGTAGGACGGAACTTTCTATACAACCCGTCGTTGTTCCTTTGTTTTCTGGGTGCCTGCGTTTGTTCTTGGGACCCTGTTCTATCCCAAAGAGGATTAGAGGCCCTGAAGCCTTGAGGATGGTCTTCATGCTATTGATACCTGGACCCCCAAAGTATGTAACATAATGGGGTTATATAGGGGTTATGTAGGGATAATGGAAAAGAAAATGGAAGCTACTATTTAGGGTTTAGGGTACCTGGACCCCAAAAGTATGTAAAATAATGGCCTTTAGGGCTATTATTAAGGGTTTAAGGCTATTATTTTTACATACTTTTGGGGTTTAGGTACTCACCAGAACCAAGAGAATAAGAGGAAGATTCAGAGGACCCACGCAAGGAGTCTTATGTCTCAACTCCTAGTATCCTGCTTAAATTTCTCCTATAAAACTCCGCGATACAATCCAATATCGACCTAAGGAATTCAGACTATAACTCATGTAGAGATTCCAACCCCCTAATTGAAGGGCCCACACCATACCTGTCATACCTCTCAAGGGCCCCGACCGTCAAGAATCATCTTGTCGGCAATCTTGCACATTAAGGAAGTGCTTGTGACCTGAGTGGCTTCCCAGTCTTGTCGAGGCTTGTGAGGGTGTAACTAGGCTGGTTTGAGATGCCACTGGGGTGCTCGCCTTTAAACGGTTTCCCATGATCGTGATTATCATAATCACCATCAAGCCGGCGATCTCCCAAGTTCAGGTTGGGTTCAGGCTTGTTTCAGTGAACCCAGAAAGTCTGCACGATCTTGAAGCAAACGCTTGAGGGAACCTGTTTGAACAATGGATGCCCTAAAGCACACCCACAAGGTGTAAGGATTGCTCCTTACCACACGATCCCACAAGAAGAAGACACCATTTCTGAAACAACTCCAGAAAACCATAGTGAAACCCCCAGCCGAGCACCATAAAGGACTGACATCCTGTAAAGTCCAACAGCACACCCCTATATAACCCCATATAACCCCTATATAACCTAATAACCACGACGATTCGGCCGCAAACCCTCAGCCGTAAACCCCCAAAGCCCCAAACAGTGGAAAAAAAGGCTTCGTCAATCTCCCCAACCCTGTAACTCCCCAAGCTCTCATGCAAGTGGCGTTGAACTTGATCTGCTTCACCCGGACATCATCGTCCAAAGGGACACCTAGGATGGGTGATCTATAAATGACGTAGCGGGATCTTGTTGTTCTCACACTGGCCGATTGGTCTTAAGAGTTACCATCGCGGCTCTCATGTAAAAATCTACTTTCGGGCCGTCCCGGCAATGGCAGAAGGAATAGCAAAAGCGGCCGTTATAGTAACAACAAAATGGCAAACCCTAAACCCCAAACCACAATGGTATGCTACTTCTGCAGGTCAAGAGTGACGCACAGAATGGGGACCATTTGTAGACTTCCAGCCTCTCCAGTTGAGGCCACATGTGGGTAGCTAAAACGGCTCCCAGGATGATTTTCATGTTCATAATACCTGGTCTCTTTTGGGAGTGGCATGGAAGCTGGAACTAGCCACAATTGCTGACAAACTGAAGGGGCAGGGAGATTAAGCATACTGGTAGCCCCTATAACCCCCATACCAATCCCAGCTATCCCAGTAGCTGTCCTAGCCCTAAGCCCAAGCTCTGTAAAAGTTGCTTCAGTTTTCTCTTCCACTTGCAAAATCCCCCCTGTTCCTCCAAGTACTGACCCTAAGGGTCCAAGGACCCAAATAATGGGGGATTTGGGCCCAAATACCATTGATTTATAGTATTTGGTGCCTAAAACCCTATTATTTGGGTCCTATATACTCCTATATAGTCCCCATATATCCATATACATCCCCCTAGAACCCCTTTAAAGGGGCTCTAGTATTTGGGTCCTTTGGACCCTTAGGGTGAGACATGGCTGACAGTGCTTGCCACGCCACGGATCAAGATTTCCCGGCCGCTTCCCGAGGCCTCTTGGCTCAAAGGTTTAGGGTTTGAGGCTTTAGGGTGTAGGGCTTTCGGGCTTTAGGGTTTAGGGGTTAGGGTTTAAGGCTCAGGGGTTTAGGGCTTAGGGGTTTAGGGTTGATAGACATGGGTTCTCTGTAACAGAGGTATGATAGGCGGGGTAGAAGGTTTAGGGCCCAGCAGGGCCTGGAACAACGTGGAAGCTACAGTTTGGGGGTGTCAGAGTTGAGGGCTCCTCTAGGATTCGGGGCTTGAAGAATTCAAATGTATCGTAAAAACCTAAACCTTAAACTGCCTTAACCCTGATAGTTTGAACATGGAAAAAGGATGCCTAGGGTTCTTTGTATGTCTGTTCTCTAGAACATAGTTGGATGTTTAGGGAGATATGGGGATATTACTCAAAAAGTGGAAAATCAAATGGAAAAGAGAATGCAAATGCAATGGAAGCTTGGAGTTGATCATTGTTGAAAGGGATTAAGGTGTGCAAGAATTAGGGCTCCTTCATGGCAATTGAAGTATATTGGGATCCAAATTGGGCTCCCTATATGTGGGGACCCTAGACCCTGAACCATTTCAACAAAAGGAGGGCAGGGGCTCCTAAATGAAGGCTTCAAGACCTTCAGGAAATAGCAAGCCGGGCGTTGGCTTCAACTAAGCTTCCCCTGCAATACCTGAAATCATGTAGAAGCCAGAACATTACCATCATCATCTTATAGTCTATTTGAAGCACCCTAGGCTGCATCTACGGTTTGTGCTTCCAAGCTTGTCTTGGGGTAAGCAAGAACACTCACTGGACCTACGGGCGACGGCTCCCTCACGCAGGCTGGTACCTAAAGCCTCCCCTAACACATCCCGAGAGAAGCCTTGAACCCTGAACCTTCGATTCTGAAACGTAAACATTATACCTTATAAGCCCGAACCCTTCAACCCTGAGCCATACACCCTGAACCCATGTCCGCCCCAACCTTTGTCCCCGCGATTCGAACTATAATCTAAACTCCTGGTATCCTCCTGAACAACCCCTATAGTACTCCCTTATACAGTCCCTTAGGTAGCCCCCTGTAAGGAGTTTAGACTAGCTCATGTGGCCTCCCAAACAAATGCGGGACCACGACCAGACTCTCTTTCTTCGTCCTCACAATTTCAAGCAGTTATGAGGCTTTGCAAAATTAGGGTTTCAGTTCAAGGGTATAGGGGGGTTGTAAAGGGATAAAATCGGGATATAAGGATAATGTGTATATATATATATATTTCTTGCACATGTACATGTCGGGCTCATGCTTTCCGACAATGAAGTGCTCCCTATGGGGTCCTTCAATTGGGGTCTGTACCGGGGCGCCCATATGTGGAAGGCTGGTCTGGGCAAAAGACAAGGAGATATGGTAGTTTCCCTAAATAACGGGACCCCAATATAGACCCCAAAATGCTACAGTCCTCATTATAGGGACCCATTTTGGAAACACCCATATATGGGTGGACGCTGCTCTCAAAATTGCATTCAATTGCGAATAGGGTTGTAGAACATAGCATTATGCCCTGGAGTGGTGAACCCTAAACCCTAAGCCTTAAACCCTCAACGCTAAAACCTAGCCCAACTTACAAACTAAGCCTGGAACCCTGGCGTAGTCAGCGGGTTCCGGGGCTTGAGGAGTCGGACTTAAAGGCTTGGGGGGGGGGGGTTGAGCATCTGGGTCTTGGGCCCTCAGCTTAGGCCAGGGTTTTGTGCTTATTAATAAAATCGAGAATTATTGGTCGTAGTATAAATATAAGTGTATAATTATAATTGCTATAGTTATTGTTATTACGTACTGTTATTAATATTTTTGCAAGGTATAGATGTTGGCCATCCTGCTATACTATGTAAGTCATATTCAGAATTCCATTGAAACGAACCAAAGGAACCCACATATGATGGGGCACCACAGGCTGCCGTGACAAAGAAAATGGTCTCGCAGGCGTGCCCCGGACTAGGTAAACTCTTCTAACTTCTTGCGAAAACTGCATATTATTAGGCGGACACACAAACCGGAAGTCATGGTGCAACTTCTCAACAGGCTGCCCTGGCTGGCCTTTCCATTGATTTCGGGCTTTTATAGGCCAGTAGTTGCAGTTGTGACTGGCACAAAAGCGCAACAGTGTTTACCAAGATTGGGGCCAATAAATGTGTAAACATCAACACATCGAGATGAGGAAAGCAAGCTGTCCCGGATTCCAGTAAAGGTGTAGGACGACGCCCAACCCTTAACCCTAAACCCTCAACTCTAATACGGTCTGTTAGAGTATTCTGTGGGTCGCCCCGCCAATCCAACCCAGAACACAACTGAAGCCTAAATCCTAACGCCTGAAGAAACCCTACATTTTAAATCCTTCGCCTAACATCTCAACCTAGCAGTACTTTAAATCATCTAGCCTCAGCCTTAAACCCAAAACTGCATACGCAAATGAGTTCTTGAAACCACGCCTTGTCCCAGAAGTTCACCTCTTCCTCATCTTTTTCTTCGGTGTCACCAACATCCACAATGTTCTCCTGCCAGCGAACTCGAGGGCTGCTGCTTTCCCAAAAAGCCTAAATCAGGTACTGGTGCTTTGGTTGATGAATCTTCTTCATTCATATTAGGGAACCTAGAGTAATACCTGACCATATTTACTTTCACTCGTATGACGGAGCCTGTAGAAAATCGTTTGTGATAATCCTTAATTCAAGTATATTGGGAAATCTGATTCTGAGGTTTATGGACAAGGGTAGCTCGCGTATGGGCTCAGAGATCAGGGCTCGAGGATTAGGGTTTCGGGTATAGGGTCCGAAAATTCAGGATCTGGGAACTGAATCCCAAGACCGTCCCTACACACTCCAAAACAATGAGGGCTTCCAAAAAAGACCGGGACGTCTTTTTTCTGGGGTCCCCACGATGAGGATGATAGTATTGGGGGGGAGGGGAGGGGTATAGAGAGAGCGGATCCCAATGCTTGGAACTCCCTCGCACTTAAACCCTATACACCCTAAACCGTAGCGAGTATACTAAATTACCCGAAAGGGCACACTATGCCACCCCTAACCCTGGTGTTGACAGTACCTCCTACGGTAGGTTGTCAAGACTACTGTCTTTTCTTGGGGCGCCCTACTCCTAAATCACACATGCTGCCTTATAAGGAAAACCCCGAAAGAGGACGTGAATTTCAACACACGCAAATAGATGGTACTTCCCTGTATACTATGTTTGGCAACCTCCCTTTGAGCCATAGTCTAGACTCCTAGCATCCCCCTGAAACCCCTACAATAATACTGCCATATATAACCCCTTAAGTTTAGACACTATACCCTAAATCGCCTAAACCCTAAACCCTTAGCCCTAAACTCTATATAACCCCCCTTTCACGAGTTTAGACTATAGTACATGTGGGTGGTTGTCAAAATGATGGTCCCTTTTTGGATCCCTATTTTAATACGGCACCTAATATATATGGTACCCAAAAAGGGATCATAATTTTTGACAACAACCTAAACCCATAAACCCTAAACCCATAAACCCTAAACACAAAACCCTAAAACCCTAAACCCCTAAACCCATAAACCCTAAACCCATAAACCCTAAACACAAAACCGAAAAACCCTAAACCCTAAACCCCTAAACCCTAAACCATAAACCCCTAAACCCTAAACCCAACATATAGTAATTTCTTTTGATCCCGCAAAGGCCTCCTGGTCTCCTTCTTCTGCGGGCCGTCCTATGTCAAGCAGCTCTACCTTGGCTCTTCCTCATTTACTTTTTTCTTTTAATTTAAATTTATGGGTGTTAGGGTTTTTAGGGTTTTTGGGTATAGGGTTTAGGGTTTTTGGTGATTTAGGGTTTTTAGGGATTATGGTTTTAAGGGTTTGTGGTGGTTTAGGGTTTTTAGGGATTATGGTTTTTAGGGTTTAGGGTTTTTAGGATTTTGTGTTTTTAGGGCTTAGGGATTTTATGTTTTTAGGGCTTAGTTTTCTTTATGATTTTAAATGTTTTTAGGCTTTATGGATTTAGGGTTTTTAGGGTTTAGTGTTTTTAGTGTTTTTAGGGTTCAGGGTTTTTGGGGGTTTAAGGTTCAGGGTTAAAACGGTTTAGGCCTCATCTGCAATACTTCGTAGTCGTCGTGGTACTGGTGATGGTAGAAGTACTGCAATCGTAGAAGGAGCTACTAATAATCATAACAACCATGACCATATAAAAGAAATACTCACCAGACTGGTAGTAACAATAAACCCTAAACCCTAAACCCTAAACCATGGTATTCAGAAAAATCGTGATCACGTTCTTGCTGACAAGGACCATCATAGTAAGTCATAATAGGAAGAAGCGCAAGCATCGTCATTTCTAAGTAAGAAGGCAAAGCCCCTGACCGGCCAAACAATACATCTTCGCCAGAGACATATAGTCTCCCTTAAGTAGATAGAATATGGCTTTGGGCATAGTATAATAAGATCCCCATATACCCCATATTCTATCTACTTAAGGGGGACTATGATGGTACTATGTTGAAGGATCATCATTAGGGTGGGGTGTTCACCATTTGCGGGAGGATATAGGTCACTCCCCCGGACAGCAACAGTTACCACAAGTAGTAATAGAAGTCCTATATAGCACCTTAATATGACACCTTTTTAGGATAGTTAAAGTGATAGGGATTGACCCAATGAATGCACAACGTTTACCCATTTCTGACCTTTATACAACCCGTTTGCAAAGCCCCTTATGTTCTTCCACTCCCCTACACGATCCCTGTATAAAGCCTATCGACCGATCCATCCCTCCACATCAGATCGCCAAAAGAACAAAGGAGGAAAGCCCATTATAGCAGTTTTTCGTACCGACACAAACCTTACGTAGAATTTCCTTGTTCTGGCGATAACCAGAATGTTGGGCAACCTTCTGCTTCCCTACAGAAACACATATATGTATACATATACATGCGCTCTTATCACATGTGCAATATACATCTATCCCTACATAACCCTGACCCTCTTTGACCCTCTTATTCCAACAGAGCCTAGTGGCCCGGAAGGTCAAAGTCTCATTTGCTGGGATGATGCCCTCCACACCCTCTTCACCTAAAGTGCAGGTTGAGGGTTCCGGGCTCAGAATAGGGCACGGGTTAGGGTTTAGGGTTTAGGATTCAGGTTTAGGGTTTAGTCTCGCTGCTTGGGACATAAGGGAATACGAGGGAGTATGCTTATATCATTCCCTCTTGCTTCTGTGCGGACCTTCGGGCCCTCTAAAACTGCACACTTTCAGCCACACAGGGACCCTCGAACCCCGATAAACCCTAAGCCCTGTGCCCTCTACCAAGGCATCCCCAAAGCCGAGGACGTGCTCAGCTAGGACCTACGATTCAGAAGCTGCAAGCCACAGGCACGCACCCAACTAGACCATTTGCAAGAAGATCAAGAACACGGTTTAAGGCCTAGGTTTGGAGGTTAACGGCCATAGAAACCAACTCTTGACCTCAAGTCTCTGAGCCTGACAAGTCCTGCATCATACGTTGCGAGCCCGGGACAGCACACGGTATACCGAAGATCCTTGTTGAGGTCCCCAGAAAAAGAAGATGGGGTTCGTGGGTAGCTGCGAGCAGGTTGTTCAGTTCTCCGGCTTGTTTGGTTACACTTGTAACCTACTGATTACGACGACGCGTGAACATTGAAGTAGAGAGTCCTTTGACATCTGGAGGTCTCTCGGGATAGGTAACCCCAAAATCTGCAGGAACATGCATGACCTATGAGGTGATAAGGTGGGTCCAATTACCTCTGGGGTAGGATTTGCTCAGAGCCAGCCCCGCTAATACATTCCAAAAACCCTTGCCAGGAGTCATGCAGAATTTCTAGGAACAGGGCCACAAGAGACCCCAGAGACATATTGGGAAGATACAAAGGATAAGAGGGTCACCTTCGGGACACTACAGGAATCATATCGGGCAACAACCATTATGAGGAACAAACCTGCGGGATGGAGAAAATCTTGCATCACATTCTGCAATCCCTATACTTGCTGGGGGTTAGTAGGGAAAGGGGGAATACAATACGTAGGGATTACATACCCTCATTTCCTAGTCACCACCAAGAAGATTATTCTAAAACAGAGCGGTGCAACATGGTCTCCATCCACAGCCCGCCCCTGGACCACAAAAGTTGGGCAAAATAATTGGACAAACCCATAATTTGGAGTTAGGGTTTAGGGCCATAAGAAAGACCCTAGCAGCCCATTAGTCGACGTAATTACTCCTTTTGGGGTGCATATAGACGCTAGCTTGACAGATGTCCATTTGGGGTCTCAGTTGCCATAGGCGTACTCTGGAGGGCATACCAGCTCCGCCTTTTCCTCCGAATAGGGTTTAGGGTTTAGGGTTTGGTGTTTTCTTTCCCTAAGGGTCCAAGGACTCAAATAACAGGGTTTTAGGGCCCAAATACTATAACATTAATTGTATTTGGGCCCTAAAGACCTCTTATTTGGGTCCTTGGACCCTTAGGGTTTGGGGTTCTGGGAGCGGTTGGGGGGTGAGGGGTTATAGGCTTTAGGGGTTAGGGCATTGGGATTTGGGTTTCAGGATTTTGGTTGAAGGTCTTTCAGAATTGAGACGTCTGGCAAGGTACCCTCCAACAGAATGATATCGCACCCCATGCGGACACGGCTATGGAACGAGAGTCATGTTCATAGAGTAGGACACGAGTTTTCCTGAAACAAGAGGCTAGAAACCTCAGGAACATGGCGTAGGGATTTTAAGGGATTTGGTAGTTTCCCAAAATAGGGGGACCCCAATATAGACCTCAAAATACTATAACCCTTATTATGGGGACCTCCAATAAGGTACCCCTAATTTTGGGAAACCCCCATTTACTGGTCCTTGTTTGGGATGATGTAGAGACACTTTTGGGGCTCCATGATGGTTTAAGGCCAGGTAGCAGGGCTCAGGATTTAGGAGTCAGTTGGGGATGGAGCCTCAGTTAGGCAGGCCATGTACTTGAGAGTTTTAGGGTTTCGGGTTTAGAGAATCCCAACTATAGGCAATATAAAAATGGCCCCAAACCCGTCAAAGCATGCAAGCAAGCCATTATTCTGCATGAAACACTGACTTTTAAGATTCTATGTTTCTGCTTTCTTCCCCCAGGTTGCTTTTGACCTCCCCACAGAGGAGGATCCAAACCTAAACCCTTATGCCGCTCAAATAGTAGTGGGCTCATGAACATCTCCCGCGCTCCTAAATCCTTAAACCCTGAGTTGGTAGCACTATGCCGTGTCCCTCAGTTCAGCAACGGTATGCGGCTCGCTTACCTAGAAGTTCTACAGAAGTATGTCTCCAATTAGGGGTCTCGCTACACACATTCTGAACATGTATCTCCTGCATGCTTTGGGATATCCAGGGTTGTAGGTGCAGCAGTGATCTTCGGGTTTCACGGCATGTAAGAGCACTGACCCTGGTGCAACTTTGCTAGGAGGGAGCCCAACATAATGCTCCAAACTGCCACTACCACCGCGGAATCCCACCCGCGTGCTTCTCCTTGTTGCCCTTCTACTTAGCTTTCCCCACTCCCTGCTAAACTTCAGACCCTGAACCTCAAAAGTGTGGCTGCCTCCAAGGCCATCGTGGGTATCAGTGCCTCCCAGCCATCGATGACCTGGGCACGTTCAGAACGCGGTTTGAGGTTGAGGGCTTTCAGGTTTTAGGGTTTGGTTTCCCTGCTGGTTGCTGATAGGGCTTCTGGAAATATTACATTGGGGATTATACGGGGGCTATTTTTGGGACCCATTCCTCGTTGCTCTCCCCAACTGAAAATCAGTAAGCTTCAAAAGCAAGAAGGAGCCCCTCACAACATTACACCCAATGCAAGGTGAGAGGTCTTTGTGGTGCCCCTTTGGGCGTCCATGTTGGGGTGGAGTGGAAGTTAGCGGTTTCTAGCGAAGGCCCGAGAGGCAAGATAAGTGTCCGAATGCCCTAGCAGTGCTCACAGGCTTGAAATGGGAGTGATGTTGACCTTTCCTGTACGAACCAACTATAACCCTCTGCAACCCCCGCTAAACAAAGAATAGCTGAGAAAAGGGAGATCGTAAGGTAGACATGAGTCAGAGGTCAGCATCTGGTACTGTGCGGGGGCGTCAGGGGGCTTAGTGTATCTACTTTTGACCCCTATAAACCTTCCACTAATCTCAGCTATCCCCCTTATGAACCTATCTATGAAGTGCTGGCGAGCCCACTGCGCACGTAACATTTTCATTGGCCATGGCAGTAGTGGTGAAAGTAAAACCTATGTCACACATGTGTTGGCTCTTGCAGGTCACATCGACCGCAAAACCTTGCATCTTGAGTCGACCTCCAAACATTTCTTCCCGAATGAATAAGTGAGAAACTTCCACACCATGATGATAATGAATGCGCGGCCAAAAGTGAATTGAATCACGCGTGTTTCGAAACTGCTCGAAAAGACAGAAAATGATTCAACTTGAGGGTTGCTGATGTCAAGACAATTCTAACTGAAAAAGGTCCTTGAAGAAAGAAAGTAACTCTCAGGGTCCAAGGACTCAAATAACAGGGTCTTAGGGCCCAAATACTATAATATTACTGGTATTTGGGCCCTAAAGCCCCATTATTTGGGTCATTAGACCCTTAGGGTAACTATGCGACCCTCCCCCCTCTTGGGGCGAAGATGGCTGAGCCGAGGATGCCACAAGAGTAGGATTGGTTGGGTACTGATTAGGGGTCCTATTAAGGGCTATATATAACCATATTAGAATGATTATCCAACTGTTACTGAGGGGGGGCAGTACTGAAAGGATTGTCTTAAACATGTGAGTAGCGTTTTTTGGTGGCTGAACCTAGCAAGATTATATTCCTTATATGAAATACTATAACCCAAAAGGAGGATACAGTCTTACTCTATAGTGCGTACCATAGTATCCCCAAACAACATACTACTCGTGTATGCAGGCGCCTGAAGGCTGTGTCTACTATTAGGTCCCCTTGACCCTCCAAGCAATAAACCCATGACAGGACCACCTCTAGACGTGGAGCCCCACCCTTGGTTGCACATCATTGGGGGTTTGTATAAGGACTACTACATACGGTTTTTCAGGGATTTCCACAAGGACCTTCTCCCATGTGGGACGACCTAACCAGGATGAACATACCAGTGTATATTGCATGTTCCATTTGATGCTCCGTTGTAGGGCTCATGCCCCCGCGTATCCCTACATAATCCCTACATATCCCTATAGATGATGTTGAAAAACTTTTCCAAACTTTCTCCATCAAAATAAGGTCACCTTTGTCTAAATGTGGGCTAAGGGCGTGGAATCCACAAAAAGGGCCGAACAAAGATGCGGTTTAGGGTTTAGGGTCTAGGGTTCTTCCAAAAGGAGACTACAAGGGGTTCAATGTTACTTCGTGGGAGAGTGGGTTTAGTCCTCCTTCCGGCCCAGGCTATGAAAAAAAGAATGAGGTCAAGTTGCACGATACTTTTCCCCAATGATGATATCATGAGGTTTTCCAGGACATGACTACTTATAGTCAGGTAGAGGGCAAATGCAATGTAGGGCGCCTGTACATGGCCATGTACTTGACTGATATCCCATTCACCAGAGAGCCTGCCTTCTTGTCAGTACAACATATATGCTCCTGATGGACAGGCCCTGGGGCCAACCCTACAGCCTCCTTGTTCTGGTTCATTGGTTTCTCCATTATTCGGAGAATATCCTGCTTTTCTATATCTCCATATAGTCGCCATAGATCTCTGTAGAATTTAAATCCTACAACGCCCTATACTCCTAGGTAACTCCCTGCTGTGGATACGAAAAAACCTGCATGACCCGAGGTACCTTATACCTTGGGAATTGTAGTACTACAGTATAATCAGGTCATGCAGGATTTTTTATATCAACAGTATGGTTCCCTAAACCCTTAACGCTGCAGCCCATCAGCGTCGCCCTCGCCAAGAACGAACTCAAACGGCTGTCCCCGCGTTCGCGAGTTGTCGAAGCAGGTCCCATCCGATAGCTTGCCCATGTAGTGGATCCTCTAGGGCTTTAGTTTCGGGTTTAGGGTTTAGGGTTTAGGGGTTTAGGGGTTCAGGTTTTAGCTTTTAGGATTCATGGTTTAGGGCTCAGGGTTTAGGGAGAATGCTTTTGCTTGCGAATTCTTGGGGCGCCTTAAAATGTGTAGTTGCCAGTCCCCAAATTGTAGCCATCAATATGGCCACCCCATGTAGAACTGATTTCAATACTCTGAATCTAAATCACCCCAGATCCTTTCAAGTACTGCAAGACTTCAAAGAATTTGCTAATCTTGATATTGTGGTATAGGGTACCTAAAACAAACCTCAGGCTGGTCTTGAGCAACCCTAATCCCTAAACCCTGATTGTTCAGCAATCAAGCTTTCGGCTCTCCTGACGAGATCGCCCTGCTTGGGAATTTCGTCGGGGTGCATGGCGTCCCGGATCACGACTTGGCTCACAGAGAACTTCAAGTTTAAGGTTTCAAGGTTTCTGGCACGTGGTTTTGGGGTCCTTAACCCTAAAACCCTAAAACCCTAAACCATAAACCCCGAAACCCTAAACCCCAAGGGACCCTAATTTACCTTAAGCCATAGACCCTAAAGCCGGCTTCAGGATTTTGACTTCTGGTGGGCGAAATCTGTCCTTAAACACAGGCGCGGCCTGCAAAACCATGGCATTGAACCCTACCTAAACCCTCCAATGTAGTTCCTTTTTGGGTTTGGTATGGTTTTTTGGTTAGGACTCTTATTAGGACTACCCAAAAGGTACTACATTGGAGGGTCTAGGTAGCCCATGGTCAAGAGGGATTTGTGTTTAGGGCCTGTGGGCACTTTGTCACTATGGCTCTGAGGGGGCCTTACGTCAATGCATATACAAGAGCGTGTCGTTGTAGGGGGCTGAAGTTGTTGCTCATAGTTATGCAACTTCTAAATTTCTAAACTACAGAAGCCTTCCTACAAAACAGGCGCTTGCCAACGCACACTCTCAACCTCAACTGCCGAAACCCTGAGTTTCTATGCCCCAAAGCCCAAACCAGACATAAGTCACATAAGCCCGAAACCCTTAACTCTGAACCCTAAACCCTGAATGGTCCCTTGGTAGCCCTAATATTGAGATTACATCAACTGAGCATCACTTTTCCAAGCGGGCTCGGCGGACGATCTTGCACTGCCTGACTTGGGGGGGGTTCTCAAGACAGCCGGGAACATAATATCACAATAATAAGAAAAACGAATAAAAATACTAGTGATACGAGTACGAAGCGCAATAATAAGAGTACGGTGCTTTCACGTTTAGGTTTCTGAAGACTATAGGGATCTAGGGGACCCTCGAGATATGTGGGCGTACACAGGGGAAATACAGGGCACATGTTTAGGGATTCTAGCGGAGTTAATTTGAGACGTTTCTACATGGGCGGTTCGATGCGATTTGAAGATGTCAAGACAATTAAATTCTGACTGAGGATGAGCACCCTAAACAAACTATAGAAGGCCTCAGATTCCAACCCCCAAACGCTGGCAGAATTTTGTGACACCCTGAAACCTGCAATCGACCCTGACAAAGTTTATCTGTACAAAAGTATTGTTTACTTTGAAGCTGGGAGGACAAGACTCTGAGGGATAGTAAGGTTAGCACAGGGTTACTACGCATTCGATTGCCGCAGGGGATACAACATCTTGACATATCTAAGCCTCGCAGGCCCTTCAAATGAAGCGGCTGACAATCTATGGCACCCAATATAACCCCATCATGAATCAAATGGAAAAGAAAATGGAAAATGAAATGGAAACTACTAGGGTTTATAGGGATTCTATAGGGTACCGTGCTACATTCTGCGCATCATGGCATTCGAGCATGAACTGAGTTTCGTTGGTCTCTGACTATAGAGCAGAAAATTGCCCGGCTCCATTGGGAATCACTAACTGAACTGAAGCTTCATTGTCTGCCGAGCCTGTTTACAAGTCAACGTGCTGCTCTGGGCTTATAAAAGCGACATTAACCAACCATGACATACGCTCACAGAGCAGCCATTTCTCATTAACAACTTTCAGTGGGATCTTGCTCAGAAGTTATGGCAGTTTCCGTTAACAAGGGAACCCCAATAGATGCTCAACACCGATATTCCTTATAATAGGGACCCTTGGAAAGTACCCCTAATATTGGGAAACCCTAATCGCCATGTACCATCATATAATACCACTCGCCAGGTCATGTTCCATAATCTTTTCCATTTGATTCTCCATTATCGGGGTAATATCCCTATGTACCTTGGAAATGAATGCAAAATTCCTATATCCTAGACCCTAAATGGTAGTTACCATTTTTCTATTCCCCTGAACCCTAAACCCTGAACCCCAAACCCCCAATCCTAAACCCTAAACCCTAGTCCCTAAACCCTTAGCCTTAAGCCGTAATCCCTAAACCCCACACCCCGATCCTGAATCCTAAACCCTAAGCCCTCAACCCTAAGCCCTAAACCTCAAGCCCTAAGCCCCTAAGCCCTCAACCCTAAACCCTTAAACTCTGAACCCTAAGCCCTCAACACTAAACCTTAAACCTTCTAAGCCCTAAAACCCCCCAGGAAGCAGAGGCCCGGCACCCTGTGCCTGCTAGACGTTCCCCGCTGCCGTGGCAACGCAGCAACAAGCGCCGCAGTTGCCCTGGAAGCTTTGGTGGTTGCTTTAGCTATGAGTAGAATATAAATATATATATATATACTTGTACATGCATGTGTTTATATATATATAGACATGGGGGTACTCTTTGAAGGCTCCTATGATAAGAATTGGCTCCAGGCCAAAAATCCGCCGGCTCCGCTTTAGGCAATTTATGGTAATTTAAGGCCCCTACAACCACCGAGGACCCTTTGAACTCTATTCCTGTTGGCGACACGAATGCTCATGTTGCCTGGCCTTCCTGGATTGCAGTTGAAGAGCTTAGTTTAAGTTACTATGTTGGAGGGACAGTCTTAATTACATATATACATATATATATATACCCATTATGGTAACCCTACACCCTAAACCCTGTATATGCACACACCTATTCTGGTAACTTAATCTAAGTTCCTTGACAGCAAACCAGTTTCTGGCTGAAATGGGCAAATCTCAGCTTCGATCCGGATTGGACTATAATATCTCGGGGTCGATTTTGGTTCCTTCTATTTATGGAAGCTACCCTAATCCGCTTGGGGGCAACTCATGTCTCAACATAAATGCACATGTAATGTAATACATGTGTGGGTATATGGATATACATATGTTCTATCTCATACGGGAACAGCCTTACACCTGAAGCCGGGGCTCCAGCAACCTACATCGTGGGATGTGGTGCGTCACTGGCTTATACTGGGCCATATGCACTGGGAGGCTTAAATAATTCGGATCGAAAACAGACCGAGACGGTCTGTGAATGCACCCCTCAAAACAATAAACCAAAATTGCGGCACATGGCACATGACCATATCATCCGAAAACTATGGCATTCTTCAGCAATGCAAAAAGCCAGCGCGTGCTAGGAGACCTCAACTCTAAGTAGATACTTTGCAGGCATGTTAAGAAACACGTGCGTTTTCTATCATAGCAAATATCGCAGGCTATAAGCTAATTAGGACCGGCTTATAACTTGAGAGCTTTCCTTCCTGGACTCCATGAACCTCTGGTGCTGCAAAGACGCAAGCCGGCTCCCCAAGGCAGTTGGGGGAGGGGCCGTGGCGCTCGCAGGGCCTGCGGGCAGCAGATCCAGGGGTTGCAGTTGTCTAAGGTTAAAACCACGGGCCCCTAGTATGGGCCCTTAACCCTGGGATCCTTATATACCTGCTATATACCTTATATGAACCCTTAGGGGTCCCTAGAATCCCCNNGGCCCATACTTCTACCCTTAGAAGTTGCCGAAGCATTTGTTAAATTCGTTTTATGGGGCCTTATATACCAGGATAGTACAAGGAACCCAGAAGCAGAATACTGGCAATTAGTTAGGCTTCTACAATGATGTTGTATTTTTCGGGAATTACCCACAAAGGACAGGACAACGCAAGTTGTAGAATCATCCATATGCCTAAGGGTGCCTTTACACGCTCCGAATCCAAAAGAAAAACCTACCTCATAATATGCTTTCAGTTTTTCGGCCTTTGGGGTTCAGGATTTGTTTGGGGGCTACCAGACTTTAGGTACGTGGTTTTCCGACTACTACCTATTCTGCAGTTCATGCACAGGTCCACAGTTCTTGCGCATGCCTAAACCAGACCCGTGATTCATAACCCCACCCCTGAACAGGGATTAAAATAAGGATCCTAATACTAAGGCCCTTGAAAGTAGGTTGTTTATCAATCAGGGGTCTACATTGACGATATGCTGTGGGACTTTGCAGGGCTGCAGGGATTCTAGAACTCTTCAGGGTCTGCTGGGGCTTTCATAAAGGGATTTTATTGGGAACCCCAAACAGGGAACCCCAAGAATATAGTAGGAATATAATAGAGTGGGTAGGTGTATTCCTACAATATTCCTACTATATTCTTGGGGTTCCCTGTTTGGGGTTCTCAATAAAGTCCCTTTATTTCAGAAAAAGTTGCCCAGTTCCCAATCATGTCCCATGAAGTTCTATTGGATTGCAACTAATGCTGAAGGTTCCACCCTAAACCCTACACACTAACTCCTAAA